CCCCCCCCCCCCAATTCTAGAGTAGCTTTTAGGCTGAGTTGCGTAAATTTAAACATGCCGATTTGATTTTTTTATATTTTTGAGTGGCAATTCCAGGTTTCACTAAAATCTTCAACCAATTGATCAGTTTCTTGGAAAATGATACCCTATTCTAGACTTAAACTCTTTGATTTATACACCCTATCCCAGAGTTAACAGCTTGAAAACCATACCCTTCGCAGTGGCACATACCTATATGGCCAATATATGGCAGCCCCCCCCCCGGGGAGTAGAACCTCCTTGGTACGGACACTAAAAGATAAGAGCAAAGATTCCGCATTTCCACGGATGTATCCGAAATATGGAAGTATGAATTTCATGAAGTTTGGCATTTTTTAGGACTAAGAAAATAAAGATTGGTGGAGGTTTGAGAGGTCAGTTAAGGAGCGATTTGAGTGATTATTTCTCTATGAACCAAGTCTAACAAGAACGCTCTTACAGCGGCGTCCAGTCTAGCTTGCTTGGAGATTCGATCGAGAAATAGGGAGGCGATTAATTCTACACGAAACAGGATTTACTCGCTTAAGGGTTTTTACTTCCTACTTTAACGTCGTCGATACTTTTTGTTTCTGAATTGATTTAGTACACGTGTTAGTGACGACGGGAAATAAGTCTGCGGTCGCAGGCTATACGCGTGTATAAATACACGAAAATTCAAGGGACTCGATTCCAGAGGAATTACATCATTGGCAGAGATCAAAAAGGTGATTTACATGGCACTTCATTTCAATCATCGCCGAAAATAAATCGCGTGCTCATCACAAGACCCATTTGCGTTCAATGAAAGTTTACAACACCCCACCATCGCAGTTTTGCTAATTAAGATTCTTATTTTTTTCCGACCACTCAGCAGTGTTCACTTCTTCCAAAGTAATCAACGCTTTGAAACGATAGAATTAGTGGACCGACACGTCTGAAAAGCTCTAAATTTAATCTTTCCTAAGCTTTCTTCGCAAAACATACGTGGCTTCGAGCACGCAACGATTGTTATTCCCAGTTTCCACGGACTCCGCAAGGAACGCCTGGCACAATGACTCCCTTTTGTGTCCTAAATACGACGACAAACGCGTTGCAGATTATGAGTCTCGCTGCTTACGCAATCGAGACTAATAAGAGACGCGAAGGGAGAGAGAGAGGGAAAGACGTAAGTATTTTTTATGCTCGTCTAGGTCAGAAATAAGACCACGAGTGGGCTTTAAATACGATTGCCAGGAGGATCTGAGTGTGGTTGTGTACGACACCATGGACACTCTGAGGCAATTGTCATAGGATTTTGAATATTACTACTTGAATTTTGATCTGTTTTCAGAAGGTTTCGTCAAATAAAGAATTTGGTATTTAAGATTTTCCAAGAATTGACTGAAAAAACAAGCAAACAAACAAAAAACAAAAATGTTAGACTGATTAATATTGTTACAGCTGACAGTTTTAGATGAGACAAGACCACCATTCGGCGGGAGTTCATTGGGCTGTCGACTGCGTGATGCAGTGCTTTATTATTTTGGGCATTGTAATTACGCTTTTTACCGGCTTGAGTGTATAGCTACTCCTAAACAGTGAAATGGGAAAGAGATAGCCTTTTGAAGTAAGAAACTATCGGCATCATTTTTAATTTGGACATTTTCACCCATCACCCCCTTACCCCATCTCTCCGCCACCAAAACTATAGCATGTCAGTACTAACGGAGCCTTCTGGGAGTTCCGCCACCATTTTGTCTTTTGTCGACATAGATGAAGAAAGGTATTTCTTGATTGGGTGTTGCCCTCACAGGCAGCAACGTAAAACTTTGGAGACGACCAAAGTTTCCCAAAGACATCTGTTACGAAAATCAGTTGAAAACTCTACCTCCGCGTATATTTAAATCGTATGTTTATTCTATCCAAGTATTCCATATTTGAAATAGATTGGAGTCCAAGTATATGCACGATGAATTAGATCCCGATCGAGCTTCCAAAATTCACGACGAGTTTAACATCACGTCACAAATCCAAACATGTTACCTTATTATAGGAAATTAACGCTCCATGAAATTAAGGTATTGGAAATTAACGCGACTTAAATTAACGCGAATTTAAGGGCAAATGACTTTCGAATAAAGTAAATTAACGCGATTACAGTTGGCCGAAATCAAAGGAGAAGATATTGAAATCAATTCTGACAGCGACAACGATGAAGATGAACTCGAAATATTGCAAACCTTCGCCTTAGCTTTTGTGAAAGATGAAAAATAAAGGGTAAATGGAAAGAAAGAAAGCATGTAGTTAATGTTTTTTTAGGTGTCAAGAATGTCTGGACAGGTTCCAAAATTGGGGTTAAAATGCTGGAAATTAAGAGCGCGGAAATTAAAGCTGCACCTAATTAACGTCGCGGAAATTAACGCTCAAAAAATTAACGCGACTTAAATTAACGCGAATTTTAACGATTCGCGTTAATTTCATGGAGCGTTAATTTCCTTTTATACGGTAAATGCACAACAAGTTATGCTTTCTAAACAAGCAAACGATAAATTTACGATGGCTACAATGCCCAAACGGTCAAGGAAAGTCAAGATGGTTCCCAAAACAGACAAACAAACAAAGAAACAAACAAAAATTCAACATATTATCATATCAGGTTACAAAAGCACATGTATACATATATACATGTAGGTCCGCAATATGTACGCATGCGGTAGCAACAACATCCGAACAGATAAATAGCTTTTAGGGCAGCCAAAATTAACCAAATACTTAACAGGCTTCTAAAGCATAGAGAAAACCATATGAAACACCTCTGACGTATTTGGAAACATTCTGTCGTTGAGTGACCCTGTTTATTGGTCTCATGTAAGGTCATCCAATACATTATTGGATTCTTGATTCCAAGTTGTGGAGTCCAGATTCCAGGTACTGGATAAATTATGTTTTTGGATTCCTTGTCAGTGGATTCGGAATACGGATTCCAAAGCACAGTATTCCAGATTCCACAAGCAAAAATTTTACGGATTCCGGGACTCTGTTTATGTTATCGTCAGGAAACGCAGGAAGTCTCACTAAAACCACCCGCTCAATTTCTCGAGAAAATTAGTTGTGCCTGATAAATACGCCAAAATAAATCCCCCGAATACGCTTTCTCTACATTTTAATGATAGATGTTTTATGTTTTCTTTTCATTTTTTTGGGATCTTTTTCAGTTTTTCGATACGACCTCCCCGAAGTTTGCTAATTTGCAAGATTTTCAGATGACCGCCATATTGAAATTGTGAGAAAGTACCGTGCAAAAATCGTATTACTTTTGGATAAAATCAGTCTAAAATTATAAGTGCAAGTGAGATTTAGCTTGGTAATACACAAAT